TTAGAAGACATTGGTGGTCGGAGCGTCCGATTGGGGGGAGATGGCTAACAGTGTCAAAGAGAGGGAGCATATTTGTAAGGATTTGATCAAGAATGTTGTGTCCTCTAGTCGGTTTAGTTACGGATCTTTTTAAATTAAATCTGTTACATAGTTCTCTTAATTTTAGTTGATTGAAGTCCCCAGCTATAACAATTCCAGATGAAGGACGTTCGCGCAAGAGACTATCTATACAAGTAGTTAAGTATTCATTCATATCGATTGCTTGTTCGGCGGATTGACCAGGAGGGTAGTACACAACAGCAGCAACGATTGTACTGTAAGGTCTAGGGGTTCTGGGGGGTTTTAACAGCAACCATATCACTTCTTTGTTTTCTTCTTCGAGGTGAGTCATACGCTCTGCTGGTAAACAATTATTCACGTAGGCGATCACTCCACCGCCAGGAGACTTTCTATCGCGACGAAATATGTTGTATTTATTACCGATCTTAACCGAGGAATCACCGATATCATCACTTAGCCAAGATTCAGTTATCATTACCCCGGATGGGTCATAGATCGATACAACAGCAGCTAATTCGTCTACCTTATTTGTTATATGGCATACATTTGACAAGAGGAAGGACGGGACTGAGGACTTTCCAATGGTGGGGTTTGTATTAGTCTTAATGTTAATTAAATTATTAAAATTTACACTTCTCTGAGATGTATAATTATCACTTGTCCGTTGGATTGCGCCTAAACGAGGGTTCCAAACTGGTCCAAGGTGCGGTTGACCAGCTGTAGGTAATCAGCTGGTCAACCGCACCTTGGTACGTGTACCAAGCTGCATGCACTGACGAGACGTTGAACGCCGAAACAAGCATGTCTGCAGATTGTACTATGTATATATATATATATATATATATATATATATATATATATATATATATATATATATATATATATATATATATATATATATATATATATATATGTCTGACATATATCTGAACAATCAAGGACAAGAATAACTCTACCTTACATGAACAGCACATCTGAAATGACCGCCAGATTATTGCGACCTTTCAACATTGACGTAGCACACAAACCGGCACTTAAACTTAGGTCATATTTCACAAAACACAAAGACAAAACAGCATCAAAACAAACAAAAAATGCTATATACATGATACCTTGCAGAGACTGTCCACAACGATACATAGGTCAAACCTCGAAGAAAGTTGAAACACGAATAACTGAACACAAAAACGCCATAAAACGATACGATTATAAATCTCTACTTGCAGCACTCACATACGACAACTGCCATACCTTCAACTGGACAGAAACCGAACTATTAGGACGAGCACAAACAAAACAAGCACGTGAATTTAAAAAGGCATGGTACAGTATAGACGGTAATACAATTAACCGACACGTTGAAATTCCCACTATTTACTTACAACTTAAAACAACACGTAAATATCCAACTATAATTACAACGATACTATGAATAATACTAACTTCCAAATAACACTTCCTTCAACATCCGCCACACAACAATCCAAACGTTCCAATGACGCCGTCCCTAGCATCCTGTCATGGTTGAGGAATTCACTCAACCATGACAACGCATTCTTCAACCAGCAATGAGATGAGATCAACCGCGGAACAGCCAATTAGACGGTCTCGACGTATACAAGAACGTAGCAACACCGCAAAACGTTAATTAAGTAATGAACATATGTAATTTTAATGCGTGTAGGAGAATCAATGCTTTGGCGGTGGTTTTTTGAGGTAAAACGAAAAACTATATTACGCTCTATCTATACGCTGTATTGAACACTGTTTGTGTTTCGTAAACCAAAATCTTAAGCTATATTTGAACCTGGTAATCGGTTGTGCACTCTGGTCTACGTTATTCATTTTATTTTTACTTCAAACATGCGACAATTTCGATCCGATTATTCACTAAAGAATATTCCTATACCATCACAGGATGCTTACTTAAAAAATTTGATTGAAAAAGTGGAAAGCGTAGCAAAACGTATGAGATTGAAAGCTAATTTCTTCCTAAAAGGATCAACGACTCAAAACCAAAGAAACCTTTTCGGCCTTTCGTCTAACAAATTGCCTCCTTCAATTCAACTTTTGAGACCTTTCGAAGACGACTTGAAAAAACTAATTGAAAACGTAAAATTCCGGCGTCCTAAAGACCAATTTCAGACATCTTTGGCCAACGATTTAAAGAAAATTAATTCATCCCCCAACATTTTCATTTTCGCGGACAAATCTAGAAACATTTACGAAACGTCACTGAACACATACAACGAACTCTTACATGACAGTATCACGAAAACGTACAAACATGGATCAGAGGACTTCATACATAAATTGACTCCGAATAGAAAGAAATTTTGAGTAGGTTAGGAATTGGCGACAGAATTGAACGAATGAAAAACGTGAAGCATTTATATCTTTAAAAGATCACAAAGAAAATTTCGAAAACAGTCCAAAATGCCGACTAATTAATCCGGCAAAAAGCGAATCCGGAAAACTAAGTAAGGTTATTTTAGATAAAATCAATTGCAAATTAAGAGAAAAACTAAATTCAAATCAGTGGACAAATACGCAACAAGTAATTTCATGGTTTGGCAATATAAACGATAAAGACAGGCACAGTTTTATTTCATTTGATATTGTGGATTTTTACCCATCCACTTCGAAAAACTTTTAAATGAAGGATTGGCCTGGGGTTCGGATTTGACTACTATTACCGAGAACGATATTTCTATAATAAAACATGCAAGAAAATCTCTACTTTTCGGCAACGGCAAATTATGGACAAAAAAAGACGGAAGCAACAGTTTATTTGACGTCACTATGGGTAGTTTCGACGGCGCTGAAATTTGTGAGCTGCTAGGCCTTTTCATTTTAAATCACTTAGGTAAGAGGTTTTGCAAGGAAAACATCGGCTTTTATAAAGATGATGGTTTGGCTATTATAAAAAGCAAATCCGCCCGTTTACTAGACAAAACTAGAAAAAAGCTACACAAAATTTTCGACCAATACTTTCGACCTGGTGAACGCAAAACACAAACCATACAGGAAACCCAATGACGATCCATTGTACATCAACAGACACTCAAGCCATCCACCAAGCATTGCAAGACAATTACCTACAGCTATCAACAAACGCATTGCACTTCTCTCAACGGACGAACAAACATTTAAGGAATTTACGCCTATTTACCAGAACGTTCTTTAGACATAGTAACTTTGATTACGAATTTACGTACACTCAGGATGCACCGCAACGGACACGTAGGAATAGGCAACGCAACATAATTTGGTTCAACCCACCATTTGGTAAAAGTGTTAACACGAACATAGGACGGGAATTCTTATGTTTAATTGACAAACACTTCCCACTACAGCTCAAACTACACAAGATTTTTAACAGAAACACTTTAAAAGTAAGCTACAGTTGCATGAACAACGTTAAGTCTATAATAACCAAACACAACGCACATATAATTAGGAACAGTCAATCACAGAATACGGAAACTGACAACTGTAACTGCGACAACAAAAACACTTGCCCACTACCGAAACAAAGCATGACCAACAACATTATTTACAAAGCAACAGTCACAACGAACAACACGAACGACACTAAACACTACATTGGTATGACAGCGACTACATTTAAGGAACGTTACGCTAACCTCACATCATCATTTCGTCATAAAAATAAAAGACTCAAACAAAACCGGAACTTTCGAAACATATTTGGAAATTAACAAAAAAAAATTTTAAAGCACGCTATTTCGTACACAGGGGGATCAAAACGCTGCAATTTATGTTTCAAAGAAAAATTTTGCATTTTGAAACACAGAAACAAAGACAATTTACTCAATAAGAGAAGCGAAATTTTCGGCAAATATCGTCACAAAAACCGGTTTCGAGTAAACAAGGTCGTTAACAAAACCTAATGACCCAAGCATGCATTGTTTCGCCTAAGCATTGTTTCGCCTGCACGCATTCCGTACATTCTTTCGATAGCATAAAAGCAACCTACAATTTCGAAATTATTGTCCACCTGATGATTCCTATACGGATGAAACAGACTGTTGTGGTTTTTTTATGTAAAACGAAAAACTATATTACGCTCTATCCAGCCAAAATGTTAAGCTATATATATATATATATATATATATATATATATATATATATATATATATATATATATATATATATATATATATATATATATAGTACAATCTGCAGACATGCATGTTTCGGCGTCCAACGCCTCGTCAGTGCAGCTTGGTACACGTCTAGATACGTGAGACACTCGTATTTATACCCCATGAACTTGCTCTCACCAAAGCATGTGTAAATTGCTAAACAAATAATAGACGAAAACGTTAAAGTTTACATTCATTTTAAAGCGTAGCCATTCAGCTTTCTAACAGTAGGTTGTTTCTTAAATTTGACTCATTGGTTCGCGGGTAACAATACTTTACGTTATTGCGATTGGAGTTTAAAAAAATTGAGATGGAATAACAAATCGTTCTCATGAAAATAATATTTTTTCATTAAAACAAACAAATGTTGCATTTTATTAAATGGATCGTAACAATAAGTATAATTACGGCTTTTCTTCCACTATTTTTAACTCAGTTTGTAACTTCAAATGCGATATAATTTTGGCTTGGACCATCTAAGCTGACTGACATCAACTTGTTATAATTTCTGTTTACATTACATCGCAATTCGATGACAC